TGTGCATATATCCCCTCTCTCTTTCTCCTTCTCCCCTTTCATTTTTCTCTGTGTTCATGAGTTTGTTTTCGCTTGTTTGTCTGTGTTTGTGAGTACTTGCGTGTTTGTATATTGTATATGTGTATGTGTTTGTATGTATCTGTGTGTGCTTGTGTTTACCCAACGCGCGTGCGTATATTATGTCTATGAACATGTGTGTGACGAATGAACAGATTGACAGACTATTACAGTTCAAAGTTTGCCCTTAAGAATCTCAAACCAAATCACCAAAAAATACTAGAACAGCTACTTCTATTCACCGGGGTGTCCGCATTAACAACGTGTAGATTGCGTTTTATGACTTGTCTCTTTGTTGTTGTGTCGTCGGTGGCCTTGTGGTTAGGCTACCGGACTCGTAATTGTGAGGTTGCGGGGTCGGGGGTTCGAGCCGCGGGCCCGACGTTGTGTCCTTGGGAAAGACACTTTACACGAATTTTCCTCACTTCACCCAGGTGGAAATGGGTACCCGGCCATAGCGAAAGATCTTGTGAGTCTGTGAGTATGTTAGCGTTTTAGCGCCTATAAATGACCGCTTGCAATGTATGCTTCCTAGGAAGTTGAGGTTGTTTCAGAATGCTCTCAGGTCTGCAGGGGTAATAGTATAGATTATGAAGCGCATAGAGCCTGCTGTTGAGCGGGGATTTGAGCTATACAAATGCTATTTATTGGGGTTTTTTCTTTTCCCCAGGGTATTTGCAATCCCAACGTACTGCCGTTCACGGCTAAGGCGGAAGTATGTATGTTGAAAAAAGAGGTACCCTTTACAGGATCGTGTCGACCCGATGCCATTACTCAGCTTCCACGCGAGGTACAAATGAAGGTGAGTAGTGGGGGGAAAGAAAAAAAATTGAAAAAAAAACCAGTCAAAATTATCTAAGTCAGCCACTCATTTTTTGAGGAGAAAAATGGTTGTCTTAGACACGCGACGTCATACACAGTGTCATTATGATGTCAAATAGCATAAGGTAGAAATGGGAAGCGGTCATTTTGTACAGGTGATTGTCATACAGAGGTAGCCGTTAGAGCAGGAGGTTTGACTGCACTGTACTTGACGAGGTAAGGGTGCCCACGGAATCGGCAGTGTAGTAGTGGGCGTATTAAATGTTGGCTTATGATCTTACGTTAGATTCCTCAGCTGCCTTTTTTTCCTAATATAGACGTTTTTAAGTCAACATCGACACAATTTATAGACCATAATTTTAAAAGGTTAGCTTCTGACCCTGCCTGTCTGTAGGCTGAGAGAGATGCCATATTTAGCAAAAAGACCGAGATACTCGATTAAAAACTATCCCCATTCGGGAATCGAATTCGGGTTGACTAACCTCTACACAACATTCGCCGATCTTGACGGTACAGGATGAGAGAGAGAGAGAGAGAGAGAGAGAGAGAGAGAGAGAGAGAGAA